TTGGTCATAAATATATTTTGAAAGGTCACTGCGTTTTAGTTCTGTTGGCACAGAGTATACAGCGATATGAGGGTTTTGTTTCTTGAGTCTTTTTGTCAGAAGCTCAAGTAGGTTGTCCGCTATACACTTCTCAAGAATGGTGGTGTCCTCCTTGCAAGTTAGTTCCACTGCGAGACCTCCCCGTCTGATTTTGTGGATTCTCTCCACACCAATTTGTAGCTGAGAAGACTTTATTTTCTTTTGTATTAGGTTGCGAAGGTTTTCACTGTTTGAGTTGTCATTGCTGCCGTATACCAGCAGCACATCTTTTTGACAGTGAGGAGTCTTGGCCACTTGTTTCGAGTGAGCCATAAAGCCGGATTTTAGAATAGTGCTGTAAGTTGGTAGAGATGATTTAGCAGGTTGTGATCCAGTAATAGAGGCAATCTCATTGAGTTTGCCTAACACTTCTTTTTGAGAGTTAATAATAACCTCATTGTCTTTATTAATCAGTTTATCGATTTTGTTAGATATCTCACGGATGGAGTTGTCAACCGAATGTCCCATAAAAATGTTGATGACACGTTCCACACATCTAGTGATGAAATCGGCATGCTTTTTGGTTCCTATTTTGGCACATTCATTATCGGCGATATAGTCTTTAAGTTCATCAAGAACAGCAAATGCAGCGTCATGTGAGCTTTAAATACCAGGAGCCTCGTGCCCCGACATTATAAGAGTGAAAAATAAGAAGAAAAGTGAAGAACGCTTATTGGTTAAACAATACGCTGAGAGGCTGACTCGAACCCCGAACGGTTAAGAGGAACGCCGAAAAATTTAACTCCGCGCCGAGAAAATACGATACGCTGATCAGCTACAGCAAACGCCGAGCGGTTGTAGCTTCCGCCGAAAAATGCAACGGCACAACCGAAAATACTAACCGCCGGTCGGCTATAAACACGCCGTTCGGCTAGCACAAAACGAGGTGGAAGAACAAAGGCCTTTGTGTGAAACAAAAACTCGCGTGTCGATGGCGGCGTTAATAAAATAGCTCGAATAAAAAGTAACGAACCATAAAAAACGGGACGTGAGGCGCTACCATCCACAGTGACTGCGCCCCTAGAAAAAATTAATAAAAAAAAAGCCCGTTAAGCCTGTAGATGGTTCTGTAATAAAGGACACAACTGTCGCCCTACCAAGAGGACCCGTGGACGAAAATTAATAAATAATATAGTGAAGTAACCAGAAAAATGTCCCGAGTTAAACAAGACAACCGGCGAAAACGGAGACCGCTTGGATCCCTAGTTACGATCAAACAAAGTTGACAACGTGGCTTCAACCAAAAAAAGCGATAACTCGCAAAAATAGGTCGTTTTGAAAAAAAAAATCAACGGCGTTTAACAGCGCACGTTGTAAGTAATAAACGATGTAAAAAACGCTTACCCGTGTCAAGTTTTTATCGAAATATCTTACGACTAAAACGGAACACAAAAACCACCGTGGCCGACCCATAAGCTCCCGCTCAACCTCACCAGTAATATTACTCGCTATCAACTTTTATCCAGTCTCTATACGATCATGAAACCTTTCTCCTAACGCCAGAACTACTTAACCCACCTGCCCCTACCACTACTCTCTTCAACCATTAACATTTTTATTTATTATCAAGTCCAGCTATAATTGATAGAATTAATGTGAGAAGTCTTCGTTTTAAAGCTATTTTTTAAATAAGAAAAAAAATTGTAAATTTTAAGTTAATTATTTTAAGAAAATTGACGAGATGGTATTTTTTTGGTATTTTTTTTCGTTTTTACCAAGTTGAAATCTGTAAGAAAATGTATAAAAACCCTATGCAGTTTTTTACTTGCAGACATGTGTAATGGATGGACCATCAAAAATTCGGCAATTTATAACACGATGACGAATGCGCAAATTCGTTTATTTATAACTAAAAATATTCTCTAAATTTCATCAAAAAATGCATTGTGACGATACCTAAATGAAATTCTTACGCAAGAAACAAAAATTGTGTTAATTGTACAATTATCATTATTATCGTGTCAGCGAAGCGGCAATAAAATATTTACTTCTGCGAGAGCGGATTTTCGGCCGTGACAAACATGAATCGTCACCGACTTCGACTCGAAGATGACTCGAGACTGAAGCTGACTAAAAAAAGACCNAATTGTGTTAATTGTACAATTATCATTATTATCGTGTCAGCGAAGCGGCAATAAAATATTTACTTCTGCGAGAGCGGATTTTCGGCCGTGACAAACATGAATCGTCACCGACTTCGACTCGAAGATGACTCGAGACTGAAGCTGACTAAAAAGCGACCAGATTTTACAAAGTTGCGCAAAGAAAATCGTGCACATTTGTCGCATTAAAATTAAATAACCTTATGTTATTTTCATTATTATTAGAATTGTATTTTAAAGGTAATAAATGTAAAAAAAAATTATTTTATTTATCGCTAGCTGTCTACCCACTACTTCGTCCACGTTATATTGAATTTTCTCGTGGGAGTAAGATATTTTCTCGCAGTAAAATGTTGCCTATGTCCATCTCCAACGTGTAAGCTATCTCCGTGCAATATTTTATTAAAACCTGATTGGTTTGAAAAATAGTTTCTTACGCTTCGGCTACTAAGAGAATAGCGAATTTTCAACCGACTGTTGACTAAACTCAAGTATATTGTCAAATTTTAAAATATAAATTTTGGAAATAATATATCAGTTTTCTTAAACCGATGAGTACAATCCAGCCTCCCAAAAATTAAACCGGTAGATGGTAAGCTGAAACAATCCTACTTATTTCATTTTTCAGTTTTCACTCTTTTCTTTAGTTTGTTGCAGGTAGATTCTGATCTCGGTTTTTCATTGTATTTTTACTGACTGTTTTAAGACCAAATTAGGTTTTAGAAGCAAAAATAGATAGATTTATTACAAAGGCAGTTTAAAAGTTAATTTGTCAAAAACACTTCATATAAAAAAATATCGGAAATAAAAATATTGTGCCGAGTTAATATTATGGCACCCGAAATAAATGTCACTATTTGAAGGGGGAGTTTCTTTTTGGTAAAGATAAGACTGGCACTTCGAAGTCATATCATAAACTTTTTATTATTGTCCTTGCACTTCGCATTCTCTCTTAAACAACATGGTGGAACTTACAAGAACCAATTTCAAAGATATTGGATTGTAATTTGAAAAAATTGTAGACCAATAAATGTCTAGTGTCGTTCGTTCGTCCGTCAGTCTGTCTGTCTTTCCTTAATCTAGAGCACGGAGTTAGACAGATGAAAGATGAGACCAGATATGGAAACATTACGAGCAGTAGGCCTCAATTAACTCTATACGAATTTTTGATGCATACCGAAAGTCATGTTATTTCAATTCAAATATTTTCGCTTGAAAAGTGTTAGATAGAAGACTGGTACGACTCTATTACTAAATGAAAAGTATGATGTACAGGGCAGGCCCTACTAATTCGAGGTGAAAAGCATATATTCTAAATGAAATAAATTAAAAATACGAAAAGAAATTGTAAAGAATTTGTAAAGAAATTGTAGCCCAACATTGTCACAACAAAAAATAACTCGTTTTTGTTTTAAAATTTAGTGACGATTAAGCTTGTATATAGGCTTATAGTTTGATTACTTTTTACTCCTTTTGAAATGTTTTCACTTGGACACCAAGAGAGTATTTTTTAATTGTATATTTTATTAAAGATGCATTTCGGTTACTTCTTCTTCAGGTTAAAGCAGATGCTTTCTGGGTCACAAGTTCTTTTACAAATTCACTGAAGACTTTAAATTAACTATACATTTTATTTATTTATTTTATTACATTTTGCGTTTTATTGGTTTTATCTGACACAATTTCTAAAAAAAATGTATCTTTCGATATCTTAATTTTCTAAAAGAAAAGTTTTAATTTTAGAAACTCGTTCTTCCTCCTTTAACACTTTCTTTTTATTTTATTTTGTACAAGACTGGAATTTGTCATTTTTCCCTTAAACTGATCTAGATATCCTATTATCTTTTGTTCGTAAAGTACAAATTTCGTCTTTACATGTATATTCTGAGCTGCTACGATGTTTATACGAGCTATCATATACATTCATTTTTTTCTCGTGCATCGAAAGCCGGCTAAACAACCGACCAGTACAGACTGTCGTCGCGAAGGATCCGGAATCAAATCCTGATCGAGATCGCTGCAAACAATTTTCTACGTAGATGTAGAAATTTGTAGAACTAACTGTGTGTCTTCTCCATCAAACACCCATACTGCATCAGTGTCTAAACGTATATGATCCCAAACAGTGGTAGTAGGCTCAGGTTCGCACTTAGGCTGACGGCTGGCTGGTGCGTTTTTCCGCTTTTTTCGTCTAAATAGAGGCCACTTTGTCTTAAAACATCTCGATATGAATTCATCCTTATCGAGACCTCGTTAAGGATGAATTCATATAAAAGAGTAAAAACACGTGGAGACGAACACACTATACAAATATATAAGTTATATTTTTATTTTATTATTCATTAAATATACACATTGCTGAGTTTAATTTTCTCTTTTCAAGAGTTTGGCTAAAAAGTCCTGAAACTTCTCACGACCAGAAGCTAATATTTCCATCATTTTGTCCACAAGCTAAAATATGAAATAAATATTACATAACACAAAGGTCATTCATATCTTGTATAAATATTAAATGCTTACCACTTTAGTCCTGGGAAACTTTTCTTTCATAAAATTATGAATAGTTTCCATATCAGTGTTACCAGTCATCTGAAATCAAGCATAATCAGTAGTAAATAACTTCAAAATTAAATAAAAGTATAATTATATTAAAAAATTTCAATAATTGTTACCATTTCTTGGAGGACCTGAATGTGTTTCTCCAGACCAAATCTTTCAACTAATTTTCTGAACAAATCCATAGGTGAATGTTGGACTTTATTGTCATCCTTGTGAACGTTCAATTTATCCAAAACTTCTTTCCACCAAGATTTCAGACGATCCTTCACATCTTGGAGAAGATCTTTTGTTCTACCTTCCAATTCAACTTTAAAATCTTTCAACTTAACCAGAGTATCTCTAGCCTTTTGATTAAAATAGTTCATAAAATTATGATTTATATATTTTATGAGTTATCACTTTTGTCACATATTTAACTATCACATTTAAGATTAAAAACAGGTATCGTACCTGATCAATTAATTCACGGCTGACGGACTTTCCACGATCTAAAGTATCCTTAATTTCACCCAGAATACGATCCAAAGTCTTTTTCAAGTGTTTTCCCAATTCGGTTTTCATATCTTGTTCAGCTCTAATTGTTTTAACAAAACGTATGTTTATAATACACAAGTTTAAAACACCCCAATTAATAACATTATAAATTATTTAGACAACTTTTAAAAAATCATTTTCTTACTCTGCAAAAGAAACAAAGTTCTTCTGAGAGATGATCAGATCTTCATAGTAATCGTCAAGAAGATCTATAAAATAATATAGTAGTTATAATTCGTTATTATTATTATTTGATGTGTGAATTTTATTATAAACTTTTGCTTAGAATTTAGGTTGCTTACCATCGTGCACGTATGCTGCAGATGTCAAACCGATCAACAAGATCAAAGCTAAGTACTTCATGTTGGATAGTATTCTGTTAAAGTAAAATAAATAAAGCTGATTAAGTTCAATAATTTACTATTTACATAAAATTTGGAATAGAAAATATAATAAGTCTTAATATATAAATGTGGACAGCTGGATGGGTGAGATGGTTAAAGCACCAGCCCGAACACTAGGATTAAATACAAGGAAGTTTTCATGGGATGTTAGTCCCGAATTTGTCAGACCCCTTCCTTCACCACCAAGCCGCCTATTCCTGGGCTTTATTTTCCATGCCTATCGTGGCTTTAGGCAAGCCCCATTTGTGGGCTTGCCTAAAGCCACGATATGCGTGGAAAAAAGCCCATTTAAAGTACCCAGAGGATGGAAGAGTAAAAAGCTCTTATTATTAACAATTAAAATGCTATAAATTTAGTATTAGCATTTATCCGTATTTAATTTAAAATATTTACACTTACCCTGACTTATACTGGAATGTAATTTAATGTATAGAGTTTTCTACTTATATACAGTCTTGTTCACGATAGATAAGTTGTTATATCATCTCGTATTGATAATATTTTGTGTGTCATTTCTTTATCAGTTATTGATTGCATTGTAATTAAACTAATTATTTTAAATATTTCACAATGAAATAAANTACGCTGTTTCAAGACTGCATGGGATCTTCCTCCAATCAAGATAAGGACGTCGTCAGCATAGGCAGTTGTGGCGTCCTGACTGAAGTCTTCTTGTAGGAAAGCGTTAAAGGTTAAGTTCCACAGAAGCGGCCCACAGACCGACCCCTGCGGGCAGCCACGCTCTACTTCTCGTTCGACAAAATGGGTCCCATACTGTAGAACAGCTTTGCGGTCATGCAGGTAATCCTTAAGGAGGTTGTAGATGTTGGCAGGGCAAGCAGCATTCCTGAGCTGATAAAGAACGAACGGCCTCCAGGCACTATCAAACGCCTCTGATATATCAAGGCTGATGGCCCGAACGTACTTATAATTGTCCAGCAAGTTCTTGATGAAATGGACAGCATGGTTAACGGCATCATTGGTGGAGAGTTGAGGCCTGAAGCTGAACTGAGTACTGTTAAGTAAGGAATTGTGTTCAATATGCCAAGTTAGACGGTCAGTGAGGAGACATTCTAAAACTTTGCCAAGTATATGTAGTAAGGAGATTGGCCGGAGGTCTTTCGGCCTGCCAGGTTTTGGCACGGGCACGATTTTAGCAGTTTTCCACTTGCGGGGAAAGATACCTGAGTACAGGCAGATGTTAAACATGTCTGTTAGTTGCTGGGGAATGAGGTTCCAGATTTTCTTTGCTAGCTTAGCGTTAATGCCGTCAATGCCGGGAGCTTTGCCCTCTTTTAGCTTTTTGAAAGCGTTGTCTATTTCGTGGTAGTTGAATTCAGGGGAGTTGTCTGTATTAATAGGGATGTTCACAGTATCACGAATAGAGCTCTGCCAAGGTGTGTCATTGTCAGTGCTGTCACTAATACAGAAGTTGTCCATGTGTTGATGCAAGGTGTTCATAATGCAGTCGTTGGGGGGTTCAGTGTCTTCGTTGACAAGTAACTGTGTCCTCCGTAGCTTGTCGGTGCACATCCTGGTGAGGTAACCCCAGGGATTGGTAGATGCAGCAGTGCAAAACTGCCGCCAGGAGTTGATCTTTGCCTGTTTGATTTCCTTCTTGTACAGGGTCTGGTGATTGTGGTATTGCTGCTTGAGGTTGGTGCGAGTTGGTTCGGTTCTGCAGGTTTGATATCTTCTTCTGAGGGTGTTGTTGGTCCTACGCAGGTCAGTGAGTTGTGTGTTCCACCAAGGCACAGATTTGCGTCTTGGGTTAGTTTTTGGAATAAATCTGTCACAGGTGTTTTCGATTTCGTTGATGTTGTGCTCAAGGGTGTGCCTAATATTATCTGTGTTCTGGTGACTGCAGTCAGTCATGCTGATCATGTTGGTATTAAGGTAATTTTTAATGCCATCCCAGTTAGCGATGGACAGATTATGCCTGCGATTGGTCAGGGCAGTGGAGTTGTACGTGCTGTTGCTGCTGGTGTTCTTCAATAGGTATGAGATGTAGGTGTGGTCACTGAGACTACTTTCGTTATGCACACGCCAATTCTCCAGATCATCAGCACAGTCCTGGCTGCAGGCAGTGACGTCGATCCAGGTCTTTCCTTGACTGGATGTGTAGGTCGGTGGAGAAAGTGGGTTGTTAAGTAGCACAAGTCCATTAGATGTGATGAATTCTTCAAAGATTTCCCCCCGCTGGTCTTGTTGATCCCCACCCCACATCGGTGAGTGGGCGTTTATATCCCCGGCGAGGATGAATTTGACGTTATTGAATTTATTTAGGATGTTCTGGATCATGTTGACAGTGTTTTCCATGCTGATGTCACGTGGACAATACATATTGATAATGATGTAGGTGCTGTTGTTGTATTTGATCTCATTACAAATTAGGTACTCATTGGATAAGTTTTTGTGGTGAAGAGTCGAGAAGGCAGGATTCGTAATAACATTTATGACCCTGGGAAAAGAGTTGGTGCCCTTGAGGATTGTACAATAAGTGGGCAGACAGGATGGTTCATTCTGCAAGCAATATGGCTCCTGAATAATAATAACATCGTATTTGTGACATTTAGAAGCGAGGAGGGAGGTAGAAGCAATGCCTCTTCCCAGATTTATTTGCAGGAAACTAATACCGTTGTTGTGTTTAAGATCCATAATCGGTTTGGGAAATTATGTTGCCTTTAACTCGTAGAAATGCTGGGCAGGAGCCATCCCTAGCATTGTGCTTGGTAGTAATATTTTTTCCATGTTGGCAATTGATGCACCTGGGCTCAGCATTTTTGTTTGGGCATTCTCTGTAAGTATGATTGCCAGCGCACTGGCTACATGTGGCAGTCTCCTGCTCACAAAATTTTGCGGAGTGCCCATACCTGCAACACCGGAAGCATTGCAGGACTGGGCAGAAATCGGCCACCCTGCACCGAGACCAGTCAAGGTTAACTTTCCTGGTTATAAGTAGATGCTTTCTCACCTGTGGAGATACCTCCACAACCCAGCTGTGAAATGGTGTCTCC